GCCCTCCGCATGGCCGCCACAAACTTCGACCGCAATGCTCTTCTCCCTGCCGATGAAGACTGGTACTTCGACTTCGACTCCAGCAAAGACTACGACTCGCCCACCGGCGCTGTCATCAACGCCAATGCTGCTAGCTTCCCTGCTCTCACTGGCCTCGGTTCCAGCATGGCTCTTCTCAAGCTGGCTCCCTGCGGCATGCTGCCACCGCATCTGCACCCTAGGGCTACCAACTTGGTCACTGCTATCACGGGTAACACGACGACATACATGATTGGCGAGAATGGTGTCAAGACACGCAAGGTGGATATGATCCCCATGCGTGTTACTATCTTCCCGCAGGGAAGTCTGCATATGATGCAGAACAATGGTATGTCTTCCACACTCCCTTCTACATTCCCGTCTGTCTATTGCCTGTTCGGGGATGCGGCTCTCAGCCCCAAGATCCAAGAAACGACCCTTGCATCTTACCCGGTCTTGATTACATGCACATCTTACTAACCACACCAACCCACAGACTGCGAGCCCGCCCTCCTCCTCAGCGCACTCAACAGCGACGACAGCGGCACCCTCAACATCCTGCCCAGCCTCTGGTCCGTCCCTCAAGACGTCATCAGCGCTGGCTTCGGCGACGCGTCTTTCAACCCCGCCAGCATCGGTGAAATGATCCCTGAAGTGGGCACTGGAGCTATTATCGGATCCGCGGAGTGCAAGAAGAAGTGCAATATCCAGATGTAAGGCTTCCAGTCGAAGTTGATGTTGGTGGAGACTAGGGCTGTGCCGTGCCGGCTACTATTGCTGCTGCTGCGGCAGTAGCGCGTGTGGCGCAGACGGTTACAACGGCTTTGTCTCTTTTTCTTTCTTCCACGCTCTTGGCTTCTTATTTTGCTTTAGTGGGGGTAATGTTTTCGCATTCGCTTTGCCCTTGCGTTTGCATGTTGTGGTTTGTGGTCTTGCTGGTTTCTTGGTTTCGATGTTAAACATGATGTCATGATGCATGCATACCTAGATATGACGGAAAAGAACAACAATAAAAAGCTTCGTGTTTTCTGCATACGAAACAACTTCATCTTGCTTCCTTCCGTCCTGGTTAGATCGTGCAGCGATCGTGCATGTAGATTACGAGACCATGTTGCGGGCCGTCACCCCGCCCTGGTAGTGGGGACCTCGCCGACATAGCCAAGTTGATGTGTAAGGCGCCCGGTGCAAGCAAGGGTATTCCATCAGGGCCATGAGTGCGTTGGCTTTCCATGGCATTGGAGACACGACTTAACCGATGGAAGCCAAAAGACTGATGTCTTGTATAATAGCCGCCGTGGCTTGCCTGTACCGATGGGCCGGTCCACACGTGGAGAAACGGGTCAGCGTCTGGACCACGACGTGAGAGCTAGATGCTTTCTCGCCCCCACAGTAAGCGTAGATTTGATGACGCATCGCTGGTAGCCGCATGCAAGTCAGATATAAGTAAGACATACTGCTCCTTCGTGGTAATGTTTCTACCTAGTTGGGCTGTCACCCGCGGGCGGGCCGCTGCTGGGTGCCCTGGTGGCATGATATATCCTACGACCTCGGCGAACTACGACTGGCTTGACAGAGAAGGTAGGAATGAGTTAGAGAGAATGTGGCACTTGGAGCGATGGGCACTGGCGGATTAAAGCAGGGCTATTACTGAACTGCTCCTTCCTCGGTCGGAATCTCTAAGGCATCATTTTTCTTTACTAGATCGATGTATGTCTGCAGGCTATGATATTCGAGACTAACACCTCACTTTAGATATTATAGAAGAGAACCACGATAAAAGACTTTGTGCTTTCTATCCTCTAGTTAACTCTATTATACGATCTTTCTTTTCAGGTCTTGTAATAGATCTGTGTTAAATACTAGTACGCGATACACCATCTACATAAGTCGTTCCTACTAGTCTAGTATATATGTTAGTACTCTGTATTCTGTTTAAGTTTCTGCAACCCTCTTGTGTTGAAGTCCCGATCTTGCGCAAACACCAGTTCAACTTCATTATCTACATTGACTCGAATTCCAACGCTTTCACTTAGAGTCTTGGCGGAGTCGATTCCGACGCCAACGTAACCCAAATGATCTGGTCTTTTGGACTGGAGCGCAAGTGCAAGTAGTTCAGCTCCGGAGTTCCAAGCCGTTGAGGCCGAGCCAGTGGCGAATGTATATAGCATGTAGCCAATAGTGACAACACAGTACAGAAGCAGCACCGTCATGGATAGATAAACAGACGTCGATCGCATCCCATAGCCGTAGCCATACTGTGTGGCAAAGAACTCGTAAGGGGTGTAGTCTTCGATGTTTTCCTCCGGTGGGTACTCAGAGAAAAAGGAAGCTTCCAGCCATTTCGACTTCTTCATGGATACCGACGTTGGTACCTTGGCGATCCAGATCACCAGAGCTGCAGCTAGTGCACCTTCTAGACCCAAGCTGCCGAGTTGTGTCGTCCCGAGTATTCCCACAAGGGCCGAATAGAACTTCGCGCTTTGCATTGGGTGATCACCAGCAATATCCAGCGTGATCTTCCGGTGTGCGGATTGCTCCATTGTTGATGATTGGCCAGTATCGACCAGTGTGAATGCTTCGTTGTAGCGCATTTGCGCCTTGCCAGAGCTCCAATATGCAGAAAGTGAACATGCTGTTACAGAGGCGGTCACAGCAGGATCTTTACTTTCGACCATTGACGACAGCAGACCAGGCTGGACCAGTGTGGACTGATTCCACATTTCACTCGTCCTGCCCTGGAAGAACACTACGAGCAACGGGTGATCTGCTGGCTCTGGTGATGAGATCCAGACCGGACTGAAGTAGACAGCAGTGGAGTGATTCTCACCCCCTCCATATGTGGAGGCGGAAAGTTCGACAGTATCCGATACTTTGGAGATCAAGGTGGGAAGATCCGGCATTAGTGATGTCCAAGGCCAGGGGTAATACCAATCGCTGCTGTTATTGATGTCGAAAAAGGATCCCCAGCACTGCGCCTCTACAACTGGGTGTGCAGCCTCCACGATTAGCGTCGTGTTTCCTATGCCCTTTAGGTCCGATTGATCAGCTATAACCTCCGTCGGGATCGTGACATTTGCCTCTCGAAGCACTGTACCCCCGGTTTTGTCGGGGTTGCGCACATCGTTGGACCACCGTAGGAGTCGTTTTAAGTTCGATAATCTCCGGGAAAAATGAAGAATGGTATTTGACCCATAAGAACTGCCACGTTCGTATCTGTCGGAGTACCATAGGGTTGAATTCAGCCCTTGAATATCACTGCTTGTAGTTCAGTACTCGATGTTATTTTGGGCCAAGGTACGTACGAGTCAAATTTTGAGATGGGAATTTTAGAAGGATACGAAGCTTCGTCAGATGCTACTCCCCAGAGTTGGCTGTGTGAAGGAGTGCGTGGAACGCCCGCACGTGGGATCATGAGAACAGCGCTTGAAGGTCCAACCAGCGCTGTCAAAGCGAACAAGAGGGGCATGGCGACCACGAAGATTGTCTTTCGCCATCCTTGGAGTGCACGAGATCGAAAGAGGGAGAAGAAATCCAGTGACCATAGATAAGACAATTGAGTCGGCTGCATAGCGCCTGATAAAGTGCCGAATGGAACAAGGCCGTTAATAAGACCTGCACGAATAATGCTAAGTAGAACCTCGACGATTGAAGCCTGCATAAGTAACTCGTGGAGCTTTGCTGCAAATTGCAATTCAGTTGAGTAATCGTTCTGTTCATTGACCCAATAATTCGTCCATTGGAATACCAGCAGTAGGATGGCGCCAGAAAGAGGAACAACGTGCAGTAACGCATGCACTGCGGCGACTGCCCTGTTGTAGTGAATGGCTACTTTGCGACGTTCGGTATTCCGGTTCCAACGAGAGCCCATACATCGAGAGAACGTCGAGGAAGCGGATTGAAACCGAAACTGTCGCATGAGATGGCGACGCTTTACCTGCGATGGGGCGGAGTTGTCTTCCAATTCGACTACATTCGCATTGTGACTGTTATCGCCAGAGGTGTCATCGCGCGAATCGACACTTGCATAGCCGCTTTTCAGTAAGCCCGTTGTATGGCTGGAGCTTCAGTATGAGCAACCTAGATCTAGATTCTGACCTGGGCGAGACGCACCTCATTTCTGCCAGTTCCTGTCCGGAGACAGCTTCGCTTCTCATCCTGCACGCCAAGCCCGCATAGCCCACAGTGGACGCGTCGTGGAGTATGCTGCTCGTTCAATACTCAGATAGTAAACCTATAACGATCGCAAAGACTTATTCAGGGTGCAAAAGACTGTATTGGAGATGTGTATGAAAGCCACCGTGGTGGAAGGAAGCAAGGTGAAGGCTGCCCAGGTGAGATCCGTTCGCTGAGCCCGACTGCCTTGTAGCTTGGCTGTGGTAAGGCCCACCATAGGATTTCGCGAATCTGACATGTCTGTGCGTGGGTAACATCACCCAAGCGCTGCTGCGGACCAGCATCTAATTAATCTAATTAAGAATGGCATTGTGACTTTCAGATAGAAGTTGATGAATAAGAAGGGGAGCGGGAAGAGTAGTGCAGTCCACGGGTCTATTCGGGAACTACCCGGGTATATGTGATACTCATCACCCGAGCAATTGGGGCAGTGTCCGCGGCTTAGCATTGTTTCGGTCGCGTTATACATCTGTTAGCATTAAGATGACCGTCTATCGCCAGAGAGATGCCGAAATCAGAGATAAGGTTGCCGATGTAGAGATACGTCGGCTTCGAAGCTTGCCGAGATCCCTTCGGAAAGGTTCCGCTGCTGGCATTCAGGAGCCCCGCCTTTCGTGTTGCTGTATAAGATTAGTGAACCTCTGTATCCTCGTGCCCACTTATCTGATGGCTGCAGTCATTTCGTTGCTAATACCATAGTGATATGTACGGTCCTTTGTGTTTCTGCAATAAATACCTTCTTTGAAATACAACGTGATCAGATACCCGTGGACCCTTCACTTTCCTACGCTCAACACACTATCCACGTCATGTCACATCAACCATCATCCACTGTTCGCGTTGCTGTCACTCAATTCGAGCCAGCATGGCTTGACTTGCCAAAGGCTGTCGAGAAGACCTGCCGTTTGATCCGCGAGGCAGCAGAGAACGGCGCAAAGCTTGTGTCGTTCCCCGAATGTTGGATTCCAGGCTACCCTGCCTGGATATGGTACGTTCGCGAATACAGTTGTCCTTCGTCGATTTCCAAGGCATGCTGATATGCAGTGCTAGGTCAAGGCCCATAGACTTCGAGCTCTCGACAGCTTATATGAAGAACTCTCTGCATGCAGACTCAAATGAGATGCGTCGCATCTGTCAGAGTGCTGCAGATCACCATATCGCCGTTGTGCTTGGGTTCGGCGAGAACTTCAAAGGCTCGCTTTACATCTCACAAGCTATCATCAATGCCGAGGGAAGTATCGAAGTCCTGCGTCGGAAGCTGAAAGCGACGCACATGGAGAGGACGATATTTGGAGATGCATCGGGCTCTACTCTCCAAAACGTCGTGGAGCTGCCGGACGTTGGACGCGTTGGTACCCTGGCTTGCTGGGAGCATACGCAACCACTACTCAAATACCACACTTACCATCAGAGAGAAACCATACATGTTGCTGCGTGGCCGCCGCTGTACGAACACGATGGTGGTCCAGGCTTGTATTCCATGAGCAAAGAAGGTGCGATATCACATTGTATACGACCAGAATAACCCTTAGCTAACGTAGTTGGTAACAGGTTGCCGCAGCCTCTCTCAAGTCTACGCCATGGAGTCGCAATCCTTTGTTCTACATACTACAGCGGTAATGAGTGATGCAGGTATCGCTACACTCCGAACAGCCTCTGGCGTCACCATGAATACCCCTGGTGGGGGTAGCTCAGCTATCTTTGGCCCGGATGGGCGCCTGGTGGCTGATGGTCTACCAGAGACAGAAGAGGGGTTCATTTACGCAGAATTGCAGCTTGATGATATCTTGAAGGCAAAAGGTTTCTTGGATGTTTGTGGCCATTACAGCCGACCTGATCTACTGTGGCTGGGTGTTGATAAGAAAGAGAAAACACATGTAGTTTAATGGACATAACGTACCTTAGGGCGGGTAACTAGCACCGGCGCGTGGCTGATCATCTAATCACCGACTCTTCAGACACCCTTAATTCCATCTCTCCCGTACAACCGCTCGTGGCAAAGATGGGTAGTCGCCTTCATCATTCCCGCTTGTCAGCCTCGCCCATTCTTCTTTTTGCCACCTCTTTCCCAAAATTTGAGCCACTTCATCATCTTTTTCTTTCCGTTGTTTGGGTGTGGTCTCTCATGATATCTTCCTCCGGGACGTCTATGGCATATATCGTCGAGCCCATATGCGTTGGATGGTGGTTGTCTCCGCGGCGGGGCGGTATTGTAAGGCTGTGGATCGGCCATAGCAAGGTGAGATGGTAGCGAATCACAGGTCTAGTGTCGATTGCAAACCTGCGCAAAGAAACAGGTCTTGGAGCATGGAGCTCTTATGAGGCCGTTACGAGGATTGGCTTCTATTGTTGAAGTAATTTTTTCAGTGTTCTCTGGGGACATATGACGAAAATCGAGGCAGGCTGAAAGCACGTGAAGACGAACTCTCAGCCTGCGATAACGACTGCGCCACCGTCACTAGAGTGTGCTTCGAAAGGGCTGTCGTGCGACCACACTTACTGCTCAATAAATTCGTGGAGGCTGACGTGGCTGCTCTTCTCGACGCTCACTGGACCTGCACCACAATATCTTCTCAAAGCTGAAAACCAAAGTTGACCGGATATGGATCAGGTGGACGACGCGCCCGTATACGCCTTCGGGGCTGAAGTCATAAGTCTACCAACTGCCTTTGGCTAACCTGGACGTGTCAACAAGCCTCTTCGGTCCTTTTACCTTACTCCTCGCTGTTATCATAATGAGTCTCTCTGGTCGACACGACACTCCCGGACAGCCCAACGATCCGATAGAGTCAGCAACAATACCGACCCCGCCTGATATTAGCGACGCGCGCCAAGCGAGTGTTTCGACTGAAAACGACGACGATCGCGAATATGACGAGGTACAACTGTTGCAAGAGGGTCCATTTCTGATCGCGGATTACCTCGCCCATAACTCCAGCAAGTCCGCTGCCGTGTTCCGAAGATATGACAAGCTTGCCATCCACAGGCTCATTTCGCTAAGCAGAGAATTAAGAGGCTTTGAAACGCAGCACGATCAGTCAGTGGACGATGGAATAGATCCAGAAGTTATGGATGGTGGTTACTACAGCAATGTATTCGGACCTAAAGTCCTGGAGTATTGTACAATATTGCTCCTTGTAAACAAGATCAATGAAGCATACTGACATGCGCTTTTAGATTCTCTTTTAGGCGCTTACAGTAACGTTCTACATCTCGAGCCCCCCGCAAGTCGGACAGTCGAGGCACTCGATCGGTTCATCTCCAGCCCAGAACTTCACAGCAAAAAGCCCTGGCTTGGTCACCAGCTGAAGTACCGGACGGAGACAACAGACGATAGAGTACCGTTCTCTGATCTTGTCAGTCTCTACACTCCAGCTGAGAATGATTACCTGTCGAGGTTTGTCGACAAGTTCTTCTACGGCTTCTTCTTGGTATGTGGTTATCGTTCACAAACTCGTTTTCCTCATACACAGCCTTAACAAACGCAGACCCCAGAATCAAACCGCGACGCGAAGTACGTAAACGAACAAAAGATGCAGCGTTTCGTCACCTTCGTTGGCACCGTCATCTCAATCGGCTTTCTAGTAGCCGCAATGTGGGTTCTTTGGCGGCTCGAAGACCACATGATCCCCAAACTGGGTGCTGTGACTGGCTTCGTTGTAGCTTTTGCGGGATGGTTGGGCTTCCTGACAACAGCGCAAAGGAAAGACGTCATAGCTGCTACGGCTGCGTATGCGGCCGTTCTGGTGGTGTTTGTTAGCCAGCAGAGCCCCGTCGGTGTAGTGACGCAAGGTACTGGCACTGTGGTGACGCAGAGTAGATGAGTAATTTGGAGTTTTTGCGATCCACACCGAAAGAAAACGTATGCCTGAATGGAAGGATTGAGGAACATGATCCAAAGAGGCGTAGGCGACGTTTGTGAAGTTTCCCACACGTACATTCTTCGAGCTCACATTTCTATTGGGTATCAGTAATGGAATACAGTTCTGAAAATGGATCGCCTCAATGCATACAGCCTTGATGGCAATACCATTCATTCACCGCCCCTCCCCCTCAACCCTAACATTCGAGAAAGCAACCGCCGGCCCCTCGCCAGCAAGTTTCTCCGCCATACTAACAATAACCTCGTCGGACCAACGAAACGCATCGACCTGATGGTAATCCAGAAGAGAGTTCAAACTCCTTACTATCCACGCCTGGACTTCCGGTGTGCAGAATTCGTATGCCACGACAAAGCTCAAGCCAGTGTGAAACGCGCCGATCGGTCTGCTGGCCCAAGCGTCTTCCCATGTTTTGCAGATCTCGACGGCGGCGCAGCGGCATTCGGATTGAAATTGATAGCGTGATTGGTCGAATGGTGGGAGGAGGCGTATTAGGACTTTGTTCGTTAAGATGATGACGGACCAGAAGCAGTTGTAGGCGGTCATGTCGCGCCAGTTGTTGAAGTGGTAGGTCGTTTGTATGGGACTGCTTTTTTCTCTAGCCGGTGTTTCGGAGACGGCGGTGCCGTTTGTGAGCTTCGTGTTCATGTGTTCGCCTAGACTGCGGAGTGCGTCTTTGAGCTCATATACCTTGTACAGAAGTGCTGTCCGTACAGATTCATATTGAGATGTGTATGGATTTGAGCTGATTGGATATGATGTTTTGACCGGCCGTATGTCTTCTTGAAAATCAATATCCTCGAAAGAGTCGGTGGAGAAGTCAAGTGACGGAGGTGTGTCGATCAACGGTTTATATAGTTCGCCGTTGGAGCTGAACTCAAAGCTCGAAGTGTGGAGCGGTTGTAGGGTGGAAGTTTCGTCCAACTCTTTCAACGTATTGAAGATACCCGGCAACTCGGCCATGTATTGCATCAAGTCGGTATTCAGGCAGTCGTCGAAACCAAGCCCGGTCTTATCGAAAGCGATATCTCGCCATTCAGGCGATGCGAGGAAACATGGCTTTCGTTCGTATATGCACGTAATAATCTACTGACATGTTAGTCTCGAGCTAGCTTTCTTGTGCATGTCGCAGCCAATAGATTCGACCACATCATCAAGACTACGTTCGACTTACTATCCCGCCTCTATTGAAGCGCAGCATCTCTTTCGTGAAACTGTCCGTGTATCTAGAAGGCCCTTGTAATTCCATTAATCGACCGGCGCCGCCCACGTGCGTCAAGTATCGGTTGCCTGTTCTTGGACCTGCAAAAGCCTGGGCATGTAAGTAAGGGTGCAAGCTCAACCACGCAAAACTTACTTCTACAAGACCAAGAAGTATTGATGCGCAGAGAGTATTGGGCGACATGCCCAATTGCTGGCTTTCGAGGCATCCCTGGAGCGTTTTGATAGCCCGGATATAAAGCTCTGGCGAAACGATCTCGTCTGCAGTCTTCTTATATACCAGCGAAGTATGGACATTCACCAGTACTGTCACTGCCGCATCAAGGGCAGCGTTGTGTCCGATCCTAGCTGGTACTTCTTGGATAAATCGACCAAAGACCGACATGCGATGCCCGGTACTGCCTGTTGTGGTAGCTGCGATCAAGGAGCGTGCGAGTTGTTGATGCTGTGATGGCGACGGTTGTCTCAGAAAGGGCGATTTAGGTGGAGATAAGCTGATCGAACTTGATCGTGGAGACCGCTTCCGCGGCGTTGAATTCTTGTTCGATATCCTGAATTTGTGGGTGACGGACCCATTGTCGGCAAACTTCTCATTCAATTGCGTTAATTGTCTGTCCGGATCTGTGACCAAATCAGTATCATAGTCGCGTGCACTAGATACCAGCTTACCTGGTGATGCGGTTTCTTCCACAGAGGAGTGTGTGGCGCCTCCACTCAGCCTATGCCCGAGATCTCTGAACGTATGTCGCGCGGGGGCTCCTGGACATTGCTTGCCATTCTTCTGGCAATTCAAACATGTTGGCCAACTTTCGTCTTGATCGTCACTAGTCAGAATGGATGAGTCGGGGCGTTCTGGTGGAGCTAGCCTTACCGCACTCTGTCCTTAGTCAGGCGTTATCCGCAAGGAAGAGGGCCACAGACGACTTACTAATCTTCCTCTTGCGGCAGATGAGGCACCCAGTGCTTTTCGGAACACCAACCATACTTCCACAATAATGCACCTTCCAAGGATGAACAACAAGCGAAATGAATGACGCAAAGATGAGACGTGAAAAACAGCAGGATTTTGAGAAGCTTGAGCTGAGACTTTTGCTGTCAACGCACGTCGGTGGCCATATGGTTGCCGAACGATGCTGTGTATGATGTATGCAAACTGCCTGCCTCTGTTAGGCGTCTCGGGGGAGTTCCATACCGTGGCTGCAGGCGAGGCTTAGGTCCACAGGGGTTATTGTTCGGCACCCTGATCTGGCGGTGGACTGATGGCTGAAGAAGACGCTCGTCACCCCACGTGTTCGCGACATGGAACCTGATCAGGCTAGATGGGATGGAAGGTGGAGATGATTGGTCAGACTTTATATGAATCTGGGACGCGCCGCAGACAGTTGTATTGTGAGTCTGCTCTGAGTGGTCTCAATTGTGTCCGCCGAGTGTGTTACACATGTCGTCAGACCGCGTATGCGTCGTGTGTAGAGTAGGACGGAAAGGCAGACTGGACTGCAAGAGCGATGGGTAATGCCAAGCCGCTAGAGCCGAAATAGACCCCTCCCACGCCAGAAGCCTCGAACACTCCAAGAAGCATCAGAGTTTCTCCTATCTGGCCAGTGAACTGAGACTGTGGCTTTCGGTATGCTTACCGTTCCTACTTTATGTTACTTCACTACATGCAGTGTGGACTGCAAGTGATGCTGGTGTGGCTGCTTCACCGTCCATCCAAGCATCCTTTCTTTCATCAGTGTGCAGTAGTAGCATCTCGACGACATAGGGCAGTCGTTCGGAGACTATTCGAATTAGCGAATGTTTCACCGGAGGTGGTCCTCTAAGCGATTACTACTCAACCATCCGCGCGTCTTGCCTTGACTTGAAAGATGTGAAGCCTCACTCCCATACACTGACCACAAACCCCACAATTTCCCGAGATCCCTCCGAACAAATCGAAGTCCACAAACCCCACGAGCCTCGACTACAAGCAAGCTTGGCCATCCCTCTTACCTTATCAGTCATCGACCTCACTAGCCATACGAAACGCCAGCAAAGTAAGCTCTAGTATCCACTGCGCCCTACGCGACAAATCGGCACACACGAATTCTCGGCACCCGCCCTCGGCATCTCGGTGACCCAACTAGGTAGTCAGACCTCAGGGTACACCGTAACCGTCAAAGTAAGGCGTGCCGATGCGCATCTACGGAGCCAAGTGATGCCTCAGCAACTTGCAGTGCAGTTACGTACGTCTTGTCAGAACTATTGACCGTTCATGATATGCGTCTTGTAATTCCGTGTGGTATATACCCAGCATGCCCCCTGATGAACATGCCTTCCATGCAATGGAATGGGGTATCGCATAGGAGATAAAAAGGCCGAAGCCAAAATCCAGTCAAATCAACGCATTGCAACCCACTTTTCCCACTCTCATCATCCCCATACCCATCTTCCATCTTCCGTCAGACCAACCAAAGGGATAACACCAGAGCCGGAACAGTCATCTCGAGGATAAAACAGTTCATGCGCCACCCATCCCTTCTGATGGCGCTACCCGACGTACTCAAGTGGCTGTTTTTCATTCTTCCATGTCCTCCTCGTCCTCATCCTCACTCTCCACCTTCTTCTTAGTAGCGCGCTTCTTCTTAGGCTTCGCGTCCTTGATAGCCTTCCGCTGAACTTGATCGCCGACGCGTTCGCGTTCAGCAGTGCCTTCGGCTAGAAGCTTTGCTTCCAACTGCTTGAACTCATCGGAGGTGTTGTCCATGCCGACGAGGCTCTCGAGCATCTTGATCTCGCGCGCCCAGATACCCTTGTCTTCGACCTTCTTGCCGTTGGCGTCAACGCTGTCGACGGGCGTCTCGAGAACCATGGGGAGACCGTGGAAGCGCTCGTCGTTCATGAGGTTGTGGAAGGCTTGGAGGCCGAGGTATCCGGTACCGATGCGGGCGTGGAGGTCGCGGAAGCTGGATAGAGGGGCTTTGCTGTCGTTGACGTGGAAGGCTTTGAGGTATTCTAGGCCAATCTCCTGGTCAAACTTGTCCATGGTTGCGGCGTAGGCTTCAGGTGAACGGAGATCGTAGCCAGCGGCGAAGACGTGGCAGGTGTCTAGGCAAACACCGACACGGCTCTTGTCCTTGATGAGGTTGATGATGGCGGCGATGTCAGCGAATGTACCTCCGATGGTGTTGCCGAGAGTTGCCATGGTCTCAAGTACAGTGACAACGCTACCAGTGGCTGGATCCGCATGTGCTCGGTTGAGGTTCTCGGCGATGATGCGAATGCCTTCCTCGCGAGTGGTGGCATTGGCATTTCCTGGGTGGAAGTTGTAGTACCGGATGCCAAGCGCATGGCAGCGCGTCAAGTCGTTGAAGAAGGAGTCGTAGGCCTGCTTCTTGCGAGCGGGATCGGGGTGAGCAAGGTTGACCAGGTAGGAACCGTGCGGCAGACAGCATTCCGCAGCGTTGATACCGTGGTCTTTGCAGCCCTGAATGAAGAGGGCGGCATGTTCCGGATCCATCTCGATGGTTTCCCATTTACGCTGGTTCTTCAGGAACAGAGCGAAGGCATTGGCGCTGTGGATGTTAGCGATGGCTCGAAATGGTGAAGGTGGAAGATCAAAAACATACCCAATATATACAAGGTTGATGATGGAGTTGTGTACGCCTAAACGATTGTTTTCGAGTCCATGTTAGCCAGTGGTCTTCGGAAATAGTAGATGAGAGTGTGATATGGACTAACCTCCAGCGGAGCTGACATGGGCGCCAATCAGATGCTTTGAGTCTTTAGTGCGTTCTGCAAGTGGTGGTAAGATCTTTGCAGTGCCGCCCTTGCCCTTTGCCCTAGGCTTGGGCTTGGGTTTGGGCTTGTCTTCATGGTCGCTGTCTTCGTTCTTAGCCTTGCTCTTCCTGCCTCGTGTGGTCTTCTTGACAGAGGTCTTGGTCGCGATCTTGTCATCTCCATCGGCGTCAACCTCTATCTCGGCATCGACTTCGGCTTCAACCGAGTCGTCCTCCGCTACGGCCTTCTTCGCAGTGGCGGTCTTCTTGTTACGTCTTGAGACGGCCTTCTTAGACTTGCCCTCGCCATCACCGCTCTCTTGGGCCATGACTTCATCTTCCACCTCTTCTGTAACCTTGATCTTCTTGGTAGCGCGACGCTTGGGTCGAGACGACTCATCGACGCCATCGACAGCATCTTCGACGTCGACTTGTTGTGCTCTGGTCCTCCTTGTACGGGGTGTTGTCTCGGCCTTTCGCTTCTTGCCGTTCACTACTGGTAGAGCGACGGTAGCGGCTTCGGTGGCTGACATGAGGTTGTCAGGAGGAGGTGAGAGGGACGAGTCTGAGGGCGCGTTAGAGATCTTCCTGGCCATGATTCTTGTAGCCAAAGGCTTATGAGTGTCTATCAAAGAGGTTCCTAGGCTTCCTGGGACTGCTGATGCAGTAAGGAGTGAGGTGTAGGAGCGACGGAGGTCGAAGGCTGAAAGGCTGCTTTTGTAGACGGCAAACGGGCGCGAGCGATCGAAGTAAAGGTGAGAGAGCGCGATTAGGGTGCTACTCCTGATAGCATGTCGAGGTGACTGGAGATTCGATAAAGGCCGCGATAGGGAGCGCGTTTGCAATTGTACAGTGGGGTATTTGGGGGCACGTGGTATGGAGTGAGTGTAATTGCGATGCTGATAGTGACTGCAATTGCTGGGGTTGCTGAGGAAGGAGCGCGTCGGCAAGGATGGGTATTTCAGGAGGGAACGACTGTGTGTGGCGACTTTGAAAGAACGACAACGCGATGAAAACAGGAGGCTTGAGGCTAGGTTTGCGATACTATTTCGCATACGAGAATGGTAGGGTTTGCTCAAGGACTACGAGAATGCGATGAAAGTCGCATCAACGTCATGGATCAGGGCAAAGTCGCGACCACGCTAGTCGCGCGCTCACATGTCTTAACCCCGCGGTAAATCCGATCTGCAACACCAAAAATTATCGTCGCCAGATCCAACAGCCCACGCCAACCGATCGCAAGTTCGGCCAGTACCCACAACCGCCAAGCTTACCCGCTCAAGCTCGTCGCAGCACTACTCAGATCTCGCGCGATCTCTCTCCGTCGACGAAAAACCTACTCAACCGCATCAAACCACCTCACAACCACCCACCATGCCCAAAGCAAAGCAAAAGCGCAGCAAAGGCGCCGACAAAGATGCCTCTCCCTATGCCCGCCCCGCCGCCACCTCTGCGAAAGCCTCGGCCGCACACTCAATCTTCAAGATGGACAAAGACCTCGGCCAACATATCCTCAAGAACCCCGGTGTCGCAACGGCCATCGTCCAAAAAGCGCATTTGAAGCAATCCGACCACGTTCTCGAAGTGGGTCCGGGAACGGGAAACTTGACAGTCCTGATACTGAAAGCCGCCAAACAAGTAACAGCCGTAGAAATGGACCCCCGAATGGCCGCTGAATTGACAAAACGAGTTCAAGGCAGCCCGGAGGAAAAGCGATTAACGATCCGGTTGGGCGACGTGATAAAAGCCGAACTCCCCCGCTTCGACGTCTGCATAAGCAACACGCCCTACCAAATCTCCTCGCCTCTGGTCTTCAAACTACTCGCCCTCGCCCACCCCCCTCGGTGCTGCATCCTCATGTTCCAGCGCGAATTCGCCATGCGCCTCTTCGCGCGGCCCGGCGAGAAACTCTACTCCCGCCTGTCCGTCAACGTGCAGATGTGGAGTAAAGTCAGCCACGTCATGAAAGTCGGACGCAACAACTTCAACCCACCCCCGCAGGTCGAGAGCAACGTCGTGCGCATCGAGCCGAAGAACCCGCGGCCGCAGATTGCGTATGAGGAGTGGGATGGGCTGTTACGCATCTGCTTTGTAAGGAAGAACAGGACGCTACGAGCGAGTTTCCTGGGTACGGCAGCGGTGTTGGAGTTGCTAGGGGGCAACTACCGGTTGTGGTGTGCGCAGAATGATATTCCTGTTGATGACAGTCCGGTCGATCCCTCTGAGATCACGGAAGATAACGACGAAGCGGACATGGACCTCGATGACGAATTCAAAGGTTTCTCAGACCCGGACGACCCGGACGATGAACTCCCTGATTTCTTTAAACAGCTCCAGGCGGAGAGTAAGAAGCGGGTGAACGGCGTGAATAGGAAGAGGAAGGGGAGGTTGAGCGAGCTGGTCAGGGAGAAAGTTAGGAAGGTGCTTGAAGATGAGACGCAGTTGGCGGATAAGCGGGCGCGGTTGTGTGATGAGGGGGATTTCTTGAAGCTATTGTACGCTTTCAACCAAGAAGGTATTCATTTCAGTTAATCCGGGGGAGCTGAAGAGAAGAAGGAGGTCTGCATTTCCTGGCGTTTCGAGACTTTTGCTGCATAGGAGGCGTTTGGGGTATACCAAAAAGCGTGGCTATACAGGCGTTTTGATGTATGACGATTTACGCAGTATAAGATGGGGAAAGATACGTGCTAGCTTTCACTTGCTAGTTACTTGGGGTATCTGAATTACGCCACGTCCTATTCAATGTTCACCTTCTTGTCTGTTACCATATCTCACCAAACCCTGCCCTCTCAGCCCTCAGCAAAAGGGTTCGGCGGCAGGACATCAGGATCAAACCCATTTGTTTCCTGTTGAATCCCCTCTCCGCCCACGCCATTTACACCTTCACTATGCCCATCCACCTTTTCCCCATTCACCATCTCTCCATTCGCATTTCCCGCAACCCCCTCCTTCGGTCTCCACAGCCTGATTGTGCGATCCAACCCCGCACTCACAATCAGCTTTTCCGTCGGATGCGTATGTACACTCAACACCGCATCGCCATGTCCCTCTAACCTCTGCAACACATTCTTACTACTAACATCCCACAACACCACCTGCCCTTCTTCGTCGCCAGACGCAACGAACGCATATTCGACACCCTCTTCCTTCCCTGTGTACGTGCCAAACGCACCGGAAAGCGAGTACTGTTTATTCACGTGTCCCTGATACGTTTTCACGCATTTCCCTTTTCCTTCAATGTAGTTCCACAGGCGGATGCATGAATCCAGGGTCCACGCGAGGATGTATTTGCCGTTTGGCGAGAAAATGACGGAGGAGACGGGGGCGTTGTCTTCGTGGACGAGGGTGCGGAGGCACTGGCCTGTTGCCGTGTCCCAGACGCGAATCAGGCCGTCGTGAGAACACGAGACTATGAGCGTACCGTCGCGGACAAAGTCAACGCCGCCAACGGGGTCAGAGTGTGCGGGTAAGGAACGCATGACGCGGGCGGCGCGGACGTCCCATAGGTAGACTGCTTCGTCGTAGGAGCCTGAGACGAGCATGTTGCCTTTGGGGCTGAAGGCTATGCTGTAGACGTAGTTGTGGTGGCCGATGAAAGGCGTGGGGTGGGCGAGCCCAGTGGTTGTGTCCCAGAGCCTTATACTCTTGTCGTCGGACCCAGAGGCGAGAATCTTGGAGTCGAGGGACCAGCATATCGTGCTTATACCTGCGAGGTGGCCTTCGAGCGTGTGTTCGAGGGCGCCGGTGTGTGCGTCCCAGATCTTGATTGTGCAGTCGGCCGAGGCGCTGGCGATGTAGCGGCCGTCGGGCGAGAATTTGACGCAGGATATGGCTTTCTTGTGGCCGCGTAGGATGAGCGTGGGCGCATAGTTCAGAGTGGTGGGCTTTGAGGATGATGTGCGGCGCTGGTGCGAGGATGAGGAGGTGCTGCTGGAGCGGCGTGACCGTGATTGCGAGCGCGAGTAGGAGGGGCGTCGGTCTCGGTATTCGCGTTGTTCGTCGTCGCTGTCGCCCCTGCTGTATCGGCGCGCGGGTCTTTCCGCTATCCTGTAGCTGGGAGAGGCATTGGGCGGTTCATGCGAGGCGGAGCGTTTGCGCGGTCGTTCGTCATCGTAGCCCTCTTCGTCTTCGCGCCGTCTTTTAGGTGAGGTTGACCGTGTGTTGTCCATTTCCATTGTGGTAGTTGGCTTGATGTTGCCCAGTGAAATGCGGAACGCGACTGATCGGCAGTAGGAAAGTTAGCGTGGAGGCGGTCCCCAGCATCCCTGCAGCATCTCAGGTACATTTCCTGGGTTGCATCATACCCGTCCGTTCAACTCGCGTCAACCTACACAATGGATTCACAACTCGGCCCGCCACCTTCGAGCATACGCATCCTCTCGCTCAATTGCTGGGGCCTCAAGTTCATCTCCAAGCTGCGCAACGAGCGCCTTACCGAAATCGGAAACCAGATCGCCGCCGCCAGTCCGCAGCCAGACATTGTAGGACTCCAGGAGTGCTGGACCCAGCAAGACTACAATGCCATAAGGGAGAAGACACAACACATATTGCCCTATGGCAAGTTCTACCACAGCGGAATCTTCGGTGGTGGTTTAGTCATTCTGTCACGATGGCCTATTCTCGAGAGCAATATGGTGCGGTACCCTCTGAACGGACGGCCTGCTGCATTCTATCGTGGCGATTGGTTTGTGGGAAAGGGAGTCGCATGTGCAAGAATCCAGATGGGGCCGTCCAAGAGAGACATTGCAGAAGTGTTCTGCACGCATGTAAGTTGGGCGTTCAGCTACAAAGTACACGCACTGACTCCAATAGCTTCACGCTCCATATGAACGCGAACCACACGATTCCTACATCTGCCACCGGACAGCCCAAGCGTGGGAAATCACAAAACTCATGCGCGCAGCGGCTGAACGTGGACATCTCGTCATCGGCATGGGCGACTTCAACATGATCCCCTTATCCCTCGCGCACCGTATCATAGAGACGCATTCGCCTGTCCGGGACGTATGGCGCATCCTACACCCTGAGTCCTCTATCGGCGCAGCGAAAGACAAGGTCGAGCAGGTTCGCGGCGTACCAATGCCATCTGCGCAGTTCAACATGACTGTCAATGGAGCAACATGCGATAGTGAGCTGAACTCCTGGCGATGGAACAAAGGACAACAGAGACGTCTCAACAAGGGTGAGAATGTGCAGATAGATCCCGCCGTTCCAGACCCGAACGCGAAGCGACTTGACTACGTCTTCTTCAGCAGCGGTCGATATCACCACCCAGAGACAAAGGAGGAGACAGCTGAGTGGGAGCTCAAGGAAGCCAACGTGGGCATGGCGATGCGGCATCCTACGTTACACTGCTCCTTGAGCGACCATTTCTCTGTCGAAGCGACATTGACAAGAACCTCTACTGAGCCGTCAGCCATACGGCTATCCCCGTGGGCACTGCCTGAGAAATATTTGCCCATCGAGGTCTACGACGAGATCATGGCAACCATACTCAAGTACCAGGTCCGAGAAAGGATACAGCGCAAGCTGCGCATAGGTCACTTCTTCTACCAGCTCTCATTCTCCGTTGGCTGCCTAATAGGTGTCTGGTGGTCACCCAAAAACTACGTTGCCTTCATACTGATGTTGTTGAGCACATTGGGATTTAGTGTTGGTGTCATCGATGGATTGATGGGGTTGTTGTTTGTTGGTAGCGAGATCAGGGCACTCAAGGAATTCGAGTGGGAAGTCCGCAATACCAGAGAGCGGGCGCTCGCAAAAGGGGAAGTTTCGAAGGTTGATTCTCAGAGTAGTGAGATACCGTTTGCATCTGAGCGGTAGCATTAGTTAGATGCAAGATAATAGAGAAGTTGCTTGGCTGATCCACGTATGTGTTAGTGAGGACCGGCGCGTGCACGTGCGGTCGTACAAACGCGCGACATGGTCGTTGTCGGGTGCTTGGCCCCATGCGTGGACCATCACTCCAAACCTCACCACTCCCACTATCAAACTTCACACACCAAGATCCCATCTCCACCACCCATTCTTGAATCACAGCAACTACGCGACAACACCAAGACCTTTTCCCGCGTCAAAGCTCGCACACGACTCGACCCTCCAACGCGCGGCTCCGAAGTCCGCAGCCCTCGCGATGAGCGAATCCCAGCCACAGCAGGCCAGCGGCAGCCAGCAGCAAGGCCAACAGCTGCTACGTCCCGATGACATCCTTAAGCTGCAATGCCTTCCCGAAGACGAGAAGCAGAAGTACCGCTTGATCATGCAGAGCTCGTGGAACATCTTCAACAACAACCCGCCGGGCAGCCAGGAGAACACCACGGCGCGTCAGAAGCTGACGGACTGGTCGCAGAAGTTCATCGCGCGCGAACGCCAATATCGCGCAAAGATGAAGGCACAGCAGCAACAGGGTAATCAAAACCAAGCACAAGCCGGACAGTCGAGTGCAGCCGGCCAGCAGAACCCCAACGCGGTCAAGCAGGAAGGAGGTCAGGGTCCCAATGGAGGAGCTGGTGGTGCCGGCGCGCAACCCAACCAGCAAAACCAAGGACAACAGCCCAACCAAGGCCAGAACCCAGGACGCGGCCAGGTCGATCCTGCTATCGTCAAGCATGTCCACGAGTTCCCCATGCAGGGACCCACGAATGGACCGGCGCCAGGCACACCCGAGTACGAGACCAAAATCAAGGAGTACCGATCTGGTTATCTTAACATGCTTGCCAAGCAAGCTTCCTTTAACGAGCAGAGACGGCGGCTTGTTCATCAGCTTACCGAAAGGCAGAACAATGGGCAGGAACTACCCCAGGAACAGCTTATGATGAAGGCCAACATCGAGAAGGAGTCTGCTAAGATCAAGGCCCAGATTGACAAGTTCCGTGCCATGCAGAAGCAATGGAAGGATGAACGCGAGGGAAATGCGCAGGGCCAGGCTCAGGCGCAACCTCAAGGCCAGAACACAGCGCAATCGCCCCCACAGCAGCAACAGCAGCAGCAACCGCCGCAACAGCAGCCCCAAGCGCCTCAGCGCCAGCCTTCACAGCCCAACATGCCCGCGCAGCCCCAAGTGAAAGAAGAGCCGCAAATCAAGATTGAGGGCGGACAGACACTACAACCACAACCCCAACAACAATCGCAAACTCAACCCCAACCACAACCCCAGTTCAACATGCAACAAAACCAGGGAAACCACCAGCAGGGCCCGCCGCAACAGCAGCATAATCAACAACACAACCAGCAGATGCCGCCTTCACTTCCGCAGCAGCAGCAACAACAAATGCAGCAAGGACAGCCGCAAGCTCGACCTCCGCCAGGGCCTCACTCGCAGACGATGCCTCCAGGCCAGATGCCGCAATTTGCGCAAGGACAGCAGCAACAGAACTTCCACCAGCAGCAACAGCAGCAGCGACCTCAGATCAACCCCATGCAGGCGAACGCGCACCAGCAGAGCAACTCACCACATCCTCAATCCGCCGCTTCGAACGCGCCCGGCCCACCAATTCCTCTCTCCCACAGCGCCGCCGTCAGCGCCGCGAACCGCTCCTACACAGACCCGCAACGCACAAACACACCTATGCAGCAAGGCGGACAAGGCGGCAACTTTGGCAGTCGCGAGCGCGAGCAGCTTAATAACCCTAAGATGCCCATTCCACGCCATCTCAACGTGACCTCACCCCAAGCCGTCCACATGGGCCAATCCCGGCCTACTATGAGTGGTCCTACCAATGGCGCGCCAGGACCCATGGGCCAACCCGTCATCCCACGGCCACCACCATTCCAACTCGAAGGCGAAGGCGATCGGGTACTCAGCAAGCGGAAGCTAGATGAGCTCGTGAGGCAGGTAACCGGTGGATCAGAAGAAGCCCTAACACCAGAAGTCGAAGAGGTAAGCCCCATCTTCCTTAAACCCCCAAACACAACAATTTCTAACCACTCCGCAGGCTGTCCTCCAACTCGCCGACGACTTCGTCGACAACGTCATCAGCAACGCGTGCAAGCTTAGCAAGCTGCGCGACTCGCCCCAACTCGACATCCGCGATATCCAAGTTATACTTGAGCGCAACTACAATATCCGTATTCCAGGATATGCGTCCGATGAGGTTAGGACTGTGAGGAAGATTGTGCCTGCGCAGGGCTGGGCGAACAAGATGAGTGCGGTGAATGCGGCGAAGGTTATGGGTGGGAAGGCGGACTTTTAGTCTGGGTTTGAGGAGGAGTGCGAAGAGGGAGTGAAGGAGGAGGATGAGGTGGAGGAGGAGTACCATCATTATCACTTCATCACTGCAGACGTGGACGACGAAGGAGAAGGAGAACAAGCTCCAACACAGATTCACAAGACCAAGTATCCTCACAACAACATTCCGTCTCTTACCTTGCCTTGATAGAAAACACACTTGTCCAATCTGGTCACCCTGGATGAGAAGGCATCTACAAGAGTGTAGTGAGTGGGTAAACAGTAGTCTATGGTATCATTCCCGGTGTCTCCAGCGATCGATCAGTTAATCAAGTGATCTGAGCCGGAGCCCCCCTACCCATCCATCCCTCACCATCTCCTTGCAACGTAATTATCATCGCTGGCATAGCTAATTCATATACACGATCCCGGTCCAAGTTCAACAGCTTCAATCTTCCTCCTCGTAAATCTTGACCTTCTCCGCATACTCCCTGATATTGGAATGAATGGTATCGTTAATCAACTCGCCCCGTCCACCCGCCACCTGCAGAATGAGATCGTTGAGTGACATTCTGCCGAGGATGTCTACATGATCCGCTATTTCACGATAACCGTCAGCACATGCTCCAGACCCGTCGTTCGCGCAGACCACAAAAGGAGAGAGGGAGATAGAAGAAGAGGACATACCAGTATTAGGACCCCCCCTAGGACTAAACCGATCAGGTTCATGTTTCATCTCAAACGTCGTCACTTTCACACCGGCGGGATTATACCTCTTCATCTTCCATCCTTTCGTACACATATACCCGCTACTTAGCAAATTCACTGTGCCATCCCCCTCACCCATGACGACCCCATGATCCACATTGCCCTCCTGCTGGGTAAACATGGTATCGAGCGTAACATTCAACCCGCTCAACGGATCATCGTCGCTGCGGTAATAATACGCACGTTCGGTATCCTTGCCTACACCGTAGAAACAGTAGATCTTCAGGTTGGGAGCGAGCGGCAACCGCGTCTCGAGGGGGTTGACCCATTTAGCGGGCAGGAACTGGTTGTCCTCGACGTGTTTGGTGGTGTGAGCTACGCCGTGGGAGTAGGAGGTTTGAATCATTTTCTTGAACCAGGGTTCTGTGTTGCGGAACAGGAATGGGAGGCTGTCATCCACAGTGATGTTCTTCTGCGTCATCGTGCTGTTTGCATTTCGAAACCGGATGAAAGGGCCAAAGGTTACGTTTTGGCCGGGGAGGTCGTCGGGGGCGCCGGTTTCGTCGCCCCAGACGGCGTTGCCGCCGAGGGGGAGCATGGAGGAGAGACCGGGCATTGCGCGGAAGATCTCTGCGCGTTCGTAGCGGGAGAGGAAGCGCTCGAGGCCGTACACGGCGAAGGCGTTGAGTTGGGCTGTGTCTTTCATTTCGCCGGACAGGACGGCGGGCATGTCTTTTAGGGCGCCGAGCATGCAGCCGGAGATATTGATCCAGCTGTCGATATATTCGTCGACCCAGTTTGGTCCGCCGTTGCCGTAACCTTCTGCTTCAACCCAGTGCAGGAAGTAGTAGAGTACCTGTGAGCCCATGGAATGCGAGAGAAGAACGACTTTCCTGTCCGACACGCGCACGGCAACTTCGATGTGCGACTTTAGACGCGTGAAGTACTGGTCGCGTATCTCGTAGTTCATGTACGACATGCGCCAGTCGTAGGCTGCCGTGAAGGCATTACCTGGATCATACCCGATGGTAGCGAGATTCTCCAGAATCTTATTCCATATCCAGTATCCCGTTATGAAGAAGTCGGCTGCGTCGAAACCTTGAGCTGCTCGTAGCTTCACGCCCGGTGGATCGAGACCACTGTCTTTGTCGAGCATAATGTGTCGTTTCCATTGCGCCTTATCGAGGACGAGCGCGCGCATCATCGTCCATGACCCCCATAATCTCTTGCGAAAGTATTGTCTCGACCCTTCTTCCGTGCCCCAGGATTCAAGACCCGTCGAGATGACACCGGGGATCATGATAACGGGGTGTTTGGCTTTGATGCCTTGTTTCTGCGCGTGGAGACCGACGGCGAAGGAATCGTAGTTTACGGCGTCTTTTTCTGATTTCTACTGAGTTGGGGCAGTCAGCCTCGATTCCACTCGATGCGCAGGGTCTCCCATTCAGTCCTCTTCTGTAGAAAACAAAGGTCGCGCGTACCTGCATCTGCTGCGCGCTCTTCACAAAGTTGTCTGGCAGCGCCTCCATGATGCTCTCCAAGTTGACGCCCTCCAGACTACTCAAATCAATCATGTCATTACTGCTCGCAAAGAAACCCGCCAGCAACAACCCAAATATGCCTCCCAGACCAAACACCCAGAAATTCCTCCGTTTCTTATGCTGCCCCCTCTTCTTGAGCGTTTGCAGCTGCTCCGCGGTAATCAGGCGCAAGTTCGCAGGCCGTTTGAACTTCCCATCTGGTCCGGGCGAAGGTTCGCGGGACAGTTCGGGCGTCGAGATCTCGCTGTCATCGCCGCCGCCGCCGCCACCGCCGAAGCGGCGTCTCAAGAAAGACATGAACGAAGCGTTGGAAGTTGTACCCGCGGGGTTGTACGGGAAAGCGTGGGCGACTGCCACAAGATTGTTTTTGGTTATCGTCACCTCGGCATGTGACGGAATGATCGGCACAAGGATGCACGAGAAAGCACGTTCCTGACACGGCGGGCCAAGCCGGCCGCTATGAGGGGCTGAGCATACGCGCATTGCTCTCCTTCCTACGCGCCATGGCCGGCAATGAAGATGGCGACGTCACAGTTGATGCGACGGCGACGGCGGCACCCTCGACCAAACAGCTGAAGGAACCTGACGACCTCCAATATGTCCAATACGAACCCTCGAAAGAAGAGCAATACCTCCCCGCCATCCGTCAATTAATCTCCAAGGACCTGTCCGAGCCATACAGTATCTATGTATACCGGTACTTCTTATACCAATGGGGTGATTTATGCTACATGGTACTTCCCTCTCCCCTCCCCAAGTTAAACCCAACTAATCCCTCCCCCCACAGGCCCTCTCTCCTACAAACACCCTCATCGGCGTAATAACCTGCAAACTCGAACCCCACCGCAGCGGCACCTACCGCGGCTACATCGCCATGCTCGCCACGCAAGAAGAATACCGCGGCCGCGGCATAGCCACGCAACTCGTTCGCCTCGCCATCGACGCCATGACTGCGCGCGACGCCGACGAAATCGTCCTCGAGACCGAGGTGTCGAATACAGCCAGTTTGAAACTGTATGAGCGGCTGGGTTTTATAAGGAGTAAGAGGCTGCATCGGTATTACTTGAATGGAAATGCGGCGTTTAGGTTGATATTGTATTTGAAGGAGGGGACTGCGTTGAAGAGACCCGAGCATGGGATGCATGGGGAGGGGGCTGGGGGGATGGAGATGAGGAGGGATGAGGCGGAGTTGTACTCTTGAAAGAGGGATGGAGGTGCTTCAACAAACATTCTTCTAGAGGGGACCAGGTGCGAAGTCGGCAGCCTTTAGTTGCACTGGCGGCTTTGGAGGAACAGGAAGACTCACGGTTGCTGGATGTGGAACACTGCGTAGCCCTCTCTTAGCTCCATGGAGGCCGAGATCTTGTACCAACCAGAGCATGTAATCCTCACAAACACTACTAAATAGAGTGTTGTAGGCATATGCAACGACGGATGCAACTAGTATGCTCATCTACACGGTATCACTAAACATCTATCCGACCCATCTACTTCTTCTCCTCCAAACTCAGCCCCTCAATAGCCTTCTCCCCACCCTCAGTCCCAACATCAACCTTGTCCTTATCCTCCCCCTCAACATGCCCATCAGGCTTAGCCTCCACATTCCGCTGCTTCGGGTGGAAAGTACCTTTATTCTTAACCTTCTTCTCCTTCTTGACCACCGGCGGCGGCGGGTAAGCCTTCTGCTCGATATCCTTCCACTCCTGGTTGCCCTGGAACTCCTTCTGCACAGGCTCAAGAAGCGCGTTGAGCGCCTCCGTAACCGCGGGCTTGAGATCCTGGGGTGTGAGGATGTCGGCTGCGTAGTCTTCTTGCATCTTCTTGATGTCGGTGTAGGTAAGGGGCTCGGCGTCGCGACGCTTTACGACGAACTTGGGCTCGCCGTAGTTGAGGTGGCTGGCGGGCAGGAGTACGTATTCGACGAAGCTGAGGACGCCGTTTTCTTCGACGATCTTGGGCGCCGCGTGCGCCTTTTTGAGCTTGCGCTTTACGACGTCTGCGTCGTCTAGGACGTCGATCTTAGAGTCTGGGTCGGACGAGCTCATCTTTCCTCCTTGCAGACCGGGAACCATGGGGTTCATCAAGTGGGCGCGCTCTTTGTAACCGATCTTGGGGAGTACGTCTTTTGCGAGGGCGAAGATCTTGCGTTGGTCTACGCCTCCGAATTGGACGTCTACGTCGAGGTACTGCTCGTCGAGGGCTTGCATCAGTGGGTAGATGAGGCCGCTCAAGGGTGCGTTCTCGGTTTGCTTGACGACTTCTGCGCCGGCCTTCTTCGCTGCTGCCTCGCTTGTTATACTCGCTAGTCTCAGCAGGTCCATGGTGTAGTCCGAGTTCAACTCATAGCTCGATCCCAGCACAAACTCTAGCTTGTCGATTGGCACTTTGACAGCCTTGAGTAGCGCGGTGATGGTGTAGCGGTAGTATTCCGCGCGGAACTTGACGAGCTCGATGGGCGCTTTTAGGTTGTCGAGGAAGCCGTGGATGTCTGCGAGCAGGATCTTGACGTGGCAGCCTGCAGCGAGGAATTGCGCGAGCTTGAGGATAGGTACGAACTACAGCATACATCGTTAGCAGTGCACGCGACCGTATCTCGCGATGTCAACATACGTAACCGCAATGTGGCCGTCCTGTTGTCGCAGTGCCCCAGTAAACCTTCAAGTGTCCTTGCTTCTTCAGCGCCTCGTCCATGATCTCTGGGTTCAAGACCTCCGCCAGGTTGACCTTGATGAGCGCCATCTTTTCTTCCTCGGACATGTTCGCGCCGGGGTTGACGAACGAAGCCGCCTGGGCTTTTTGTAATCTTGACTTTGCATCCTTGAGTTGTGTCTGCGCTTCTTCGATTCTCTTCTCAATGTCCGCGATCTCCTGTTGGATTGCCGCGGGGTCTGCCATTGTGTCGGCCGTGGTGGGGTACGAGGGGCAGCTGGTGTGCCAATTGACTCGAGACCGGAAGGAGCGTAATAGAGTGGTTTGGAGAAAGGCGGAGTGAGCAAGAACAGCGATTTAAAGCCGTGTATATCGAGCTCAGTCGCAGCGTGCGAGTGGTTTGGTGTGTCTTGCGCCCTGCGCCCAACTGGATGAGTCGTTGCGGGGCCGGGAACAGTCACCAAAATAACATTTCCAGGGTCCAGTTGCTGTGCCACATGTGTGGCTGCCAACACTCACGCATGACAAAATGCAGTAGTTGTAGTAAACAAGTGTTCCTATTCGCTTGTATAAGGAGTGTATAGCTAAACAACAGACAAATCCAAGGTAAATCCACAAAGAAGTAAAACCAATAACCAATGCCCACCAATCGCTCAAAGAATTTGAATCGCGCCGTCGCTATGTATGCTGCTTTCGAAGATGTCGTCCCGTCAGATTACAACCCCCCGAGTCTCTCTCTCAACGTGTTGTGACTTCCCAGTAGATTTATTGTCCACACTTAGCCATGCAGGCTCTGGCATCACGGGCCAGGTTGGCAGGAAGCGAAGCACCGAACTCGTCAATGTTCTTACTGTTGATTTGACCCTTCAAAACACGTTAGCATAACCTCCACACCATTCTGACAAATTCAACCTACCGGAAAACCAAGCGTAGCATCCACAACCTCCGAGTTGAGCGCAAAGAAGTTCTGCGCAATCTGGCTAGTACCAGGGTCCTCGGAGTTGAGCGCCGCCACAAAAGTCGCTGGCTTGCAGTTATTGTTGAACTGGTAATGGATGGAGCCTTGAGGGAAGACGGTGGCCTCGAAGGCGTTGAGGTACCCTGCGACTTCTGGGTTCTGCTTGGGCCCGACAAGTTGGTTCTCGAGGACGAAACCGAACTCCATCTTCTCGCCTTCAACGAGGGTGAGCATCTCGGTAGCGCGGGGGTGGACGTGGGGGGTGTTGATGCCGCATGGCTCGAGGAAACCGACGGTGGTGGAGATGCCGAGACCGGTTAGGATGGGGAAGTTTCCAATGTTCTGGGAAGGGGATTAGTATAAGTTGTGTTGCTAAGGGGAATGTTTTGACTCACGGCTGCAATGGCAACACCACCCTCTGCGCCGGGAGGTGGCGCCGTGTTCCTATCGAAAGTGAAGACGGTCGCCTTGCGGAGGTCGTCTCCCTGCAGGAGCTCAGGGCCTTCAGGGCCTTCTCCCACAGTCAAAAGCCTTTGGAAACGCTTGATGGCTGTAGGAGCAGTGAGGAGGTCGTCGAAGATGTCAGGCGTCGAAACAGGTGCTGCCGGGGCGGCAGGAGTGGAAGTAGCATTGTCCTGTCTCGCATGTATGTGCTGAGGGAGTGCCTGAACAGCACCAAGAGCAAGCGAAGCAACGACGATGTTGGTGATAGTGAACATGATTACTGATTAAGAAGCGAAGGCTTGGATAGACAGTAAAGAAACAAGGAGATAATGGAAAGTAAAGAGGAAAGGATGAGATGGTAGTATGAGTTTCTGGTTGTGTGGTAAGAAGATGATTCTCCAACTGGGTGTTCTACGCTGCTTTACTTATACCTCCATTGTTCTCATCCGTCTTACCAGCACTCATCAGCTGTCCTGGACGGAAGTCACGATTCCGGAGGGCTGTACAGTACGGTGTTGACGCTTGCCGACTAATTGTGTACGCTATTCAGCGAGGGATGCGATATGCTTAGACATCCTGGGGTCAAGAATAATCATTGGCTGGGATGGCAAGTCGGTGCGACTATGTCTGGCGGTCCGTCAGCCTTACAGCGGGAGCGCTGATGGGGCGTGGATCTTGTGGGGGCGGTGTATTTCGGCGTCACGGCGTCGCTTGCACGAAATAGATGGGACAAAGGATGGAAATTACTTCTTGACGCTTGCGCTGATGAAGATGAAACGGCTAGAAAAGTTGGCCGTGCGGAGGGTTGATGATGCGTGTGCAATCTATCGGTAAACATCTATAGTGAGGCTAGCCTTGGGGTAGTATCGCGAGAGATGAGCTGCGTTTTGTGACTGAGGTCATTCGACTCGGCGCAGAACAACGGAAGGGCGAATGTCCGCGTCCTTCGTGAATGCGTGTTGCCTGATAGTTGGCGTGGGTGGATTTGGTCGCGTGCAAGTGGCCGTCAGCTTCCGCCGTTGACGCCTGGGCAGGTGGGCCTTCTGTTTACCTAAGGATGGCTAAGTTTAGCCCGCACTGACTCGCGAGACCAACGCGTCTCTAAGAACAAACTGCAACAAAGCCAGAGCCTAGACGCAGGTGAATTTCAAATTCGCAACTAGACCATGTCTCACGGTCTGGCGGGTGCTGAGCAATGTGCAGGTAAAAACGGATGCATTCAGAAAATAGTACGCTACGCTAAATC